AATTATGAATGGAAAACCTTGAATTGTTTTTTGCATGGCTTATCGGACATTCTCTTATTCCATAGTCTAGGTAGCTATGGTACTTAAACGTTTTTGTGACAATAAAGATTGATTTGATGTCCACAGAACGAGGAAAGGAGACGCACATCTGGTGGAGTGTATCTGCTGATGCTCAAACGAGATGACACCATACAATCTAAAGATATGAAGAAAATATTTGCAGATGACCTCACTGTTGTAAAAAATCTTAGGAAAAGAGCATATAGGAGGAAAAAGAAGGCGAAACTACAAGATCTCAAAGAGACCTTGATTAGAGGTAAATCTTATCACACAAAATCTAGATAAGGGAGTTTCCTGGAAAGGAATAAAATTCAGGTAGATTACCTAGGAAATTTAGTCTGGCGGCTTAAACAAAAAATGTGAAAATGCGGCTTACCCATTTAGTCAGACTAGGGACTTATTTGCTTTTAATAATAGAATGATTGAAAATAATTTTCTAAATAATATACTTTCTAATTATTATAAGTGATTTGTTGGATCAGAATATTGGAGTTAAGCCCCTGAACTCTTTTAGGTTAACTGAACGGTGCTTATGAATAGTTCTCTGCTAATGGGTTCCTACTTAACCAGGATAACTCATTCATATTTTCTACAATTATCTGTGATAACTCTCTGTAAATCAAATCCTTAATAACCTATTTAAGGTTATTTAGTTTTTAAATGTCTTTTACAGAATGCATCGCCTCCTATTTTATTATGAATACGCAATGTATTTGTTTTTATATGGTAATAAAGATTGATTTAACTATATCACTCTATAACATGAACATTTTCAGCAATGTTGACCGCATTGAACTGATTGGCGATCAAGAGCCGTTCTCTTTTATCCCGGCTAAAATAGTGTCCCGGCTCTTCTACCAACATTATCAAATTTATTATTTCATTGTTCGAAAGAATAGGCTCCCTTTTCCTTCTCCCGGCTTTGGGCAACCCTAACCCAAGGTTCAAACAATTGTTTTGCGTCCGGTCAGACGTAAGTAATGCAAAATCTAAACCTAAATTGTCATTATTGTGCTGGTATTTTATAGAAAATAATTATTTTAGTGTCATCTTTACTGTGTCTTGTTCTTGTAATTCTTTTGACTTCAGTTTTTTTCATTACTTCAAATGTACCAAACTGGTTAGTGAACAACAGAATATTTAACATCCCTGTAAAAAGTTGGATTTTGAGTCTTGACTCGACCGCAAAACTCAACCAATTCGTTCCTCGAATATGTTTGATCAACACTTATGTTAATTGTTTTGGTATTTATTCTTGCTTTCTGTTGTTATTTTGCTCAGAATCTATTGTATTCCTGTAAGCTTGCTGTCTCCAGTTTTGTTTTCACTACCTCATAAACACTGATTTATTTTCTAGGTTATGTTTACTTGCTCCCGTAACAGCCCGGTATTATGACAGTTCACTGCCACCGCCACCTGGATTTTACTCTAAACTCTCGTTTATAAAACCAGCGTTAGTTTTGACTCGTTTTCGTTGGTGAAATCAGATTTTCTTAACTGTGGTTTAAATCATCGGTTAGTTTTAACCAAATTTTAACTAAACCATCGTTAGCGAGAATTTGGTGAAATCGGGCCTAAAGCTCTATGTTTGAAACGGTTAAAAACTATGGCCAAACTACTTAAAAAAATTAACGTCAATTCAAATTTTAAATAAATAAATAGATTTCATTCCTCACCTTAGCAATTGTGGTTGATTTTTCCCTTGATGATATTTATGTCATCAAGGATATTAACATACCTACTACTGAGCCCATAAATTAACAATTAAATTTTTAAAATGTAATATATGCAGTTCTAACCCATATCTGTGATGTCATGTATATTTGTTAAACAAACCCCTATAGATGGATCTAGTTAATACATATTTAAATTAGTATCCCATGAAATCACTTTCTATATCATTATTTTTAACTAAAACTATAATTGCCAAGGTAAGAAACTTAGCCTATTTGCTTTCATTGGGTGGAAAATATTAAAACCTCTGAGTTTTCTTACAATTTGTTAACAAAAGTTTTAATTGTTCCAGAAAAACTTTTAAATTTGAACACCATGGTTGGTGTGGAAAGTTCGGGGGCGAAACAATCACCTGCTGAGGTTGCCGAGAGCAATAATCTGGAAGAGGGGGAGGTAGAACTGAACGTAACCAATCCTCCGCCTTCGCCAGCGACCGACCAAGACACACCACCATCACGTGCACTCGCAAGCAGCGAAGATGAGACTGAAATAGCAAGGAGGGAGAATCATGGTCGAACAATCATCACTTACGAAGACGATGACGACGACTATCTAGATATAGATGTGGACGATATGGATGTGTTTTGACTTGTAATATCAACCTCACTGTATATACTGTAATATTTTTCTAATGTATTTATACATTACCGTTCGACTCATTATTTTTTTAATTATACAAATTGCGAAGTGATTTGGTTGTTTTTAACTTATGTTGGTGAATTTCCCTGTATGTAGGTAGGTATAGTACTGACTTTTGGATACACAGAAGTAGGCATATCATAATTATGAACCAGTCATAGCCACCTACAAGCGTTCCCACAGGCAAGATAACTTTTACAAAAATATTGAAGGAATACAGATAAAATATATAAACCATCTATTACCTGAAAGTACAAAAATATGTCAAATAGCATTTTTAATAATATATTTTCACTTATACAATAGGCCTACTGTTTAATCATAAGACGGTAAATACAGATAAAAGATGGTAAGTTTTGATTGATTTAATTTGGACACTCCAATCATCATCAGACCCAATAGCGAATGACAAGAATCTCAATGGCGTCCCTTCTATACTATTGGCTACCGGAAGTACCGGCCAAGAGGTTTCTATAGGTACAACTGGAGTCAAATTTCACTTGTCCATTAGTTAGCTTTTCTATGATGGTGGAAGTGTCCAATCGATCACCACTTACCATCTTATATATGTATTTACCATTGGTGTTTAAACAATATTGTATAAGTGTAAATATACAGGGTGTTTTTAAAAGAATGCCGGGATTTCAAACGGTCGTTGCTCAGGGACTATTCAAGATAATTAAACGATTTAAACGTCAAATTGAAGGGGAAAGAATAAAGTTTTTTTCTCATTCATTCATACAATTCGGAATGATTTAATATAATTCAGATTTTCATCAATCTTATATGAGCGTAAAACTGGCAAAGTGTGTACGCTTAGGGCGATCGGCAACTTTATCTGATGTCTTAACTAAATCTTTTTAGGCACAAAGACTCTATATTTTATAGATAACAACATAAAGTGAGCACTTTAGGTCTTTTAAACTGAATACTTCGTCGGGCAATCGATTATTCGGGCTTATGATGCAGAAATGTCGGATTTCTTCGACTATGTCATCGTTAGTTTTTAGCCGGCCTGGAGAATGTCTTTTTAAAACACTTCGGTGCCACAAAACTCATTAAGCCAGCTTCAAGTTTCTTTATCATCAAGTAGATTTAAATTTACTTTAATTTTGCAATGGATATAACCTCTGCGAACTACAGATTATAATCTGTGCCTTCTGTTGCGCCGTAAACGTCGCACTGGCGACTCGCGTCAGGCATATGAGGCACAATAGCGGCCTATCACGCCGAAACTGTTTTACGCATACCAAGGTCAAAGTTTCCTCCCTTGCTGCACGGGAAACAAAACTTAGTTATTTTAGCTTCAATTTGACGTATAAAACGTTTAGTTACCTTGAATAGTATCCAAGCAATTACCATTTAAAATCCCGGCATTCTTTTAAAAACACCCTGTATTATTATATGTGTTATTTGACATATTTTTGTACTTTAAGGTAATTCAATAACACGTACAATGCTGATCAAGAAATTTGTTAACCATCTATTATAGTTTGAAATGCAGTCCAGATAAAAAGTGGGCTTACTGGTTTTCTTTATCCCAAAAGTGCATTTATTTTTCAACATCTTCCTTTTTACAAACTTCTACATAGCACAATAAAACAATTGGTCGATGACAGTCGGTCTGTTTAGCCTGTACTGTATGTATTAGATGATACATCTCACCAGGATTGTAAAAAATAATGATAATAGCCCTTGCCTTATTCACTATCTTCATTTAAGAATGAACGTGCATCTAGTAAAATAACTTTTAGCTTTCTTTAAACACAATGTATACATGTTCAAAATTAAAAATATAATAAACAATTTTATTAACAAACAAGTGGGACAACAATTAGAATGCACATATTTTTTCAAGTATAGCATCCCTTCCATAAAGAGATAAAGGACAAGAAAACAATTCTTAGAATTTAACGTGGTGTACTTTCAGCTAATAAATAATAGCTGCTATACAATCACCTGACTGATTAATCACTTGACTGATTTGATTTTAGGTTGTGACTTAATAATTTTATTGTAAACTACCTTATCTGCACATCTACCCCTCTCAATGTGCAGGGAAGAAGAGTTTAATACCATATTTCTGAATCTTTACCAAGCCAGTAGCATTTTTATATTTTGTATAAGGGATTGGTCTTTTTATCTTCTCTTGGTTGTGGACCTACCAGAGATTTACTGTAAGGTCTCCACAACAAAGATGCATTTTAATACCACCCTCAAAAGGGTTAAGACAGATTTATAACTCTCTGTTGAAAAAGTGTTAAGTAAATGGCTATAGAGCTATTTTTGTTTATTTCAAGCTGAAGTTTTTATTTTCTTTAACCAAATTAAATTGCAATTAGATGATATTATTTCCTTGGTATCTGGAAACAATTTAATTTCATGGTTGTTACAGATTCACACTTTCTTATGGAACAACATTTATTAGGCTATTTATGGCTTTACAATGTGTAAAAGTCCTAACTTACTGTTACTACTACTGATAAACATTATTGAATGGGAAATCAGATAAATAAAGCTAATATGATTTTTTATATAAAAGCTTTATTCAAATAATATTTACATAACTGGATTGAGACAACAACTTTGTTTGGATGAAATTAGTATCCAATTAATGAAGAAGAAGAAATCCATTTAAAGGTCTGTAATCTGAAACATAAAGTTAAAAGTTGTTTACAGCTATGTAAATTGCTTATATATTTACCCACTGAAAGTAGTCGAATTGCATTACAAGCCAACTGCAATGGCATACAAATGATTTAAATTCAAACTCAGGGTTATTTCTATGGTTATTATTAATTATACACGATGGCGGTCTTATATAGTGCTATCATATAGGCAAGTGCTAATAATTTCCACTATAAATTTATAGTATTTGTACTAGCCATAGCCACCAAAGACAATTCAAGTGGTAAATAAAGTAAAAAACCTTCAGTACTATGAAATCTAAAATAACAATACATCCGCCGCAGCAAACCTCTAAGCGAATTTCCATCTGCCTGAATTGATTTTTGATTAACATTAGGTTAAAGAGTACCTTGGTTTGCTGCTACAGGGAAACTACGTGGAGGAAATAACGTGTTTTTTTTTTTTGTAAAATATTAATAGCTTAGTATAAAATAAATAAATTTACCAAGTTTGATAAAATATATCCATAAACAAGGATACTACATTTTACAATATTCTGCATAAGTATAACGTGGGAATTTTAAATTAATTTTTTTTTTTATTTCTCCGTTACCAATAACCGTACAAAACACTTTGATATACTAAATCATTAGTTTTTTTAAGCTCTTCAACATTGTCTAGAGAGAAATTGTGAAATTTTGTGTTTTGAGGATCAAAAATGATAAAAACTAATTTTTCCCTCATAAGACCCTCTGTAAAACCCCGTTCCCATGGTCCGATCATGCTGGTTCACGAATTCATTCAAGTTTATCCCGCCTAACACCTTCAAGCCAAATTTAATCAAAATCGGAGAAAAATTACTAAAGTTATCACGGACACAGCTTAATAAGCCATAATGTTTTTTTTTATAATAAATTTATTGGGGAATAGATCTATTATCAATGCAAAAATTATATTTACTAAATATTTCAAGTACATTTAAATATTTTAGTATAATATTATTTATTAATTAATATAAATAAATAATAAGAATTCCTTCTTTCTTTTTTCCAATTTATAAGAAAGAAGGAATTCTACTAAATATTTTATTAATATGTAAATATTTAATATACCTATATATTAAATATCTTATTATATATAAATATTTATTTGAAGGCAAGTGAGCGTAGCGAACGAGCTAACCTGAAGGAAAGTGAGCGCAGCGAACGAGCTCCAACATACAGGTGAGTGAGCGTAGCGAACGAACTTCAACCAGGACGTGATTGAGCCATGCAAACGAGATCAGATAGTAAAAATAAAAGTAAGCCTACCGTTATAGGATCGACCGGCAGACACAGAGGTAATTTAACCTTTTATTGATTGTCATACCGATCCGGAACAACAAAAAACAACATAAAATGAAGCTATGTATAATAGTTTGGCCAGCATATCTTAAAATATGCAAACCAACTGCTGTTCGTTATATAAGAAGGTTTCAACTGAATATTATAAGATCCCCGTGCGTAGAACGGGTACACAGCTAGTAGCTATATACATATATAAAAATTGAACGAATGGTGTTTTTGGCCTCTGTGGACATCAAAATAAAAAAGTAAATCGGTCCTGGGCCTAGGTCTTACTATGAGACCTATGCTAATAACTACTTCCCTATAGGTAAATTTGCTAAAAATATCTCTCCTTCATAAAGGTAAATCAAAGTCCATAAACCACTGAAGAGGTTGATAAAATTATGTTAATCACGTCTGCAGGAAATATCTATTTCAGCTAAATGTGTTAAAGATAGATTACTTTTGGCAAAAGTGAGGGCTTGTCATTTTTTATGAATGTTCTGAATGTGAAAATACCAACACAAGTAGCTCGTCACTAGTAAAATATTTGGTTCTTGGCTAATGCCACATAAACGGATCTGCCCTAAGAGATAAAAGAGAATTTTATACTGAAGCACACTCTGGGTGTTCTTTGTTCAATGTTGTCAATTTTCTTTTTGAAAAAAAAAGAACTGCAGCTTATCCTTATGGGATGTCTACTAGTATCAAAAAGTGGATGATTGTATACACAAAATATTTCCTCACCAGCTGGGGAAGAACTTTTTCAACATGTTCGGCCTGTATAACTGTGGATCCTTCGGTCTTGGCTTGTTTTCCCGCTCGTAGTGTTGCCTCCACTACAGCCAGGCTTGCAACTTCTGCAACCAGCTGACCTGCTTCTTCCATCAGTTTTGTTTTATCTCCACGGAAAAAGTGCTTTAATATAGCCTTAGTTGTCTCCTACCAACAACAGGTAAAGTGCAGTAGAACTTAATTGCACGGCTCAATTAACAGGACCCCATCCAAATTATCAAAACCAAAACTCTGGACGATTGGAATTTGGGAAAACAGGATTTTTAAGAAAGGAATTGGCCCTGGACAAATGACACTCTGGCCACCGTTTAATACGACGGTACAATAGACTTGTCGCATGATGGACCCAATAGGAACAGATTACCGCAAACTGTAATGATCTACATTGTACAAACTGATTTTATTTATTTTATTCTCCTTAAGTTTAGACAAATAATGGGAGTTATACTGTAACACAGTATAGTTCACATAGCCTGAAATTTAACTGATTGCTAACAGGGCTACACTTCTACATGTCGCACAAACTAGCAAGTCAGGACATGATTATCAATATTTCTTGTTTTAAAAGATCCAACTCTTCATCAATTATTCCAAGATAACATGTCCTTTGAAAAGTAGGATTGACTTTATTCTCTTAAGGTATTGAATGTATTAGTACAATTTGTATGATTTGTTGGTCTTTTAACAGAAAAAATTGTCAGTTTCTATTGTTATTTGACAGATGTAAGTGGTCAATGTTTTCTAAGGAAAATTCAAACTTTGGTCTCGTTACTATTTAACCTTGACCTTGGTTAGCATATGATATGATACGCCAATGGTGAATGAATCGTGGTCTAGTATCAATACACTCCCTAAGATCAATTTAAAGCAATTTACAGATATGGTGGTAAGGACTACAACCTCCCTGCCTATACTGATAATTGTTTTTCTGAGGCAAATTTATTGCTCCTCTGTTAAACAAATTCATTGTTTGGACCACAATATAATTTCATTTCCTAACTGACATTTTATAAGGATTCTGATGTAGGCCATACAGTACACATTTGTAAACAGATTATTAGATTAGATTTTCAGAAAATGAATGTTAAAATACTCCAAGTTATATCGACATGGTCAGAATATGACCATGACTTGATTATCTTGCTTTGCATTTTTTTCAAAATTGTATGAGACACAGTATTTGACAAATTGATTTATTTCGATACAGCTTCAATTCAATTCATCACCCATGACAGCAATAATATATACACAAAATGTAAAATAATAGTGCATTTAAGTAGGAAACTTACCACTTTAAACGATCGATCAGTTGATGAAGCCATAACTTTCCTCAAATTTCTGAACTAATCTGCTAAAAACATGTAGGAATCATCAACTATTTTATTAGTGAAACCATAGATAAAACATGTTTTATCTATGGTAAAACCAACTAGAGAAAGACATACTCAGCTTCATCCCCATGCCCTTTTTAATCTTAAACATTGTTAGCAGGCTATAACAAATATACTTTTTCCAAAAGGTTAACATTCAAATTAATGGCTCTCTGTAATCAGTGTTTAAATTAATTACTAGTGTACATGTTGCTCGAAATCGAGCAATTGCAAAGAAGTACAGGAGTTACATATAAACAAATGACTTGTTAAAAAACTAATAACAGTCATAATTTCCGATGATTTTAAAAGAGTCAACTAAAAGATTATTAACTAATGGAAATACTCACAATTTACATAACAGTCCTATTCCAGTTTAAAGGGTTATTTTTTAACTATCAAACTGCCCATGGACGGGAAATGGTAAGCTTACAATTTAAGTCAAAATAAAAAGTCTGTCAGCTTTTATAATGTACTGTACCTAAGTTATTTAGCCAATTTGTAGACAATAAGGTGTAGGCTACAAACTCTACAGAACTCTCATGCTTCCATGGGGAGCAACTAATTATTAATATTTAATTCCTGACAACAGCTGGAGTTTCAAAACAATGTTTGTTTCCCGTGTTAATCTTATGGAGAAATACGAAACTTTAAAGGGTCCCAGGGCCTCACTCTCTAATTATTTACCTAAAAAGAAAGTTTCCTACACAACTTCACATTACGCTCTTTCCAATGACACCAAAAACATGTCAATCGGTTCAGTAGTTTCGGAGGAATAATTGTCACAAAAATCCTGCTTGCGTATTAAATAAGTATAGATGACAAATTCCTTTAACAAATTAACATTAGTCAGTAAAACTAGGAATTTCAATAAATTTACAGGGTGATTGATATAAGTGTGCCAGCTGTTTTATTCAAAAACTATAAGAGATATCAAAAAAAGTTAAATGGTAAGTGCCTTGGATTTTTATTTTAAAAATTGTAGTCGTTAAAAAAATATTTTAGCCGCCATTTTTCTAATATGGTTGCCAACTTTGATTTTTCTTATGGAACACTCTGTATTTTAAGATGTATTCCGGTAGAAAATGTAATTTTAAGACAATTTTACTCTTGTGTTTTTGTTTTTTTTTCATAACCGTTTCAAAGATAATAATGGTTAAAGCTGTAAAATTTCAAATAGTTTTTGAATAAAACAGCTGGCATGCTTGCTTAGGCCTTTATCGAAACTCTTTCTCCGAAATTTCAAAACTTTAACCATTATTATCTTTGAAACGGTTAGGTTTATGAAAAAAAAACACAAGAATAAAATTGTCTTAAAATTACATTTTCTACCAGAATACATAATAAAATACAGGATGTTCCATAAGAAAAATCAAAGTTGGCAGCCATATTGGAACAATGACGGCAAAAAATGTTTTTTTCGACTTGACTACAATTTTTAAAATAAAAAATCCAAGGCACTTGCCATTTAACTTATAGTGTTAGCAAAATGGGAGGGCCGATGGAGACCAGGTCTAGTCCCTTCACGCGCATGCACCCCCACAGGTCTTCATCGGCACTCCTGTTTTGCTAACACTGTATTTTGATATCTCCAAATAGTTTTCGAATAAAACACCTGGCACACTTATATGAATCACCCTGTATGTAGGTATACCTCATTTGCACTGAACTTTTGAAATTCCTAGCACTAGTGTCTTTCAGCAGAACTTTTATTTCTGAAACAAATCCAAAATAATTGATTCAGTTTTGTTAAAACAAAATTAAAAATTTTTGAAAAAGTAGCCTATCTGTAGACCAAAAAATTATTGGCAGAATAATGTTGATATTCATAAGGTGGGCCTACTTCTGAAATCAACATTTGCAACGATCAAGGAAATCTAATATCAATAAATCTTAAAAAAGATTCTTTGGCTATGTTGAACACTGTAGGCCTAATAAGGAAACAATGAGCCATCATTGTAATGATTGCCAGATGCTTTAAATCTTGTAGGCTAAAACTAAATAGGAGAGGCAGTGTAAAAAATTAATAAAAGTTGAATGGTAAATATATGCTTTATTTTCAGTTTTAAATAGGCTATATATAAAAAACGGAAAACAAACTTGCAGATTCTTTCACTACTACTTTCTTCTTTAAATTGAACTGGAAACTGTATAAGTTCTTTATATAGTTTTTGAATTTGAACAACTTTTAAGCAAATATTTTTAAGGGTGTATTTAATGTGCATTTGACTTATCATTTTTGGTACTTTAATACAACTGGCAGTTTAAGCATTATTGAAATGTTTTGGGATAACCCATAGTTAAAATAATAGCATAACAATGAGTAAAATATTGAGACAAAAATGTGTACAAAAAGGTTAAATAAACAGACAAATCAAACTGAACTGGCAATAGTTTAAACAATTTACGATTAAGGCTCAAAATATGTGCTGTACAGTACATAGAGTTTAAAATGTGTTGGTCTCTTACTTACTTAAAAAGCCTAAATAGGCCTAGAATTTAGTAACAGAAAGGTACTTAAATTTCTCAAATTTGGCCTAGAAGTTAGAGTGCAAGGCAGACTAAATAAAATCTTCCTTTTTTAATATCAACTAAATTAGACGCAAATACAAACTCTGTTAGCTCAAAAGGAGGCTCTTAAAAGATTACTGTTTCTTAGGTTTTTCTGGTTTGTTTACAGCTGGTTTATCAGACTTTAGCGGAGTTTCTGGATTTGACGACTTATTGGCTCGCAACACTGAGCCTGGGCTTGGATAAGGGCGCATCTGGTAAAGTGATCCTGCAGCGGTTGTGTCAACGCCAGTTTTAGCTTCATTCCCTTTGTTAAGACCGTCAGACCATCCTCCCCTCGGACAATCTGAGTAAGCAGCTGGGTCCATTGGGTCGATGTTATTTACTTTCAGTTTATTTCTCCCTTTAGCTCTTGATTTTTCCAATTCTTCCAGCTTCCTCCTTTTTACCTCTCTCTTACGTTCAGCCTCATCATCACTTTCTTCATCAGTTGATTCGCTTTTATCACTTTTCTCATCGGAGTCATTGTCTTCTGAGTCAGATACCAAATCTCTCTGCTGGCGACAAATTGCAGCTGGTTCTGTGATTACAGCTTTAGGATGGGATGGCGGCAGCCATGAAACTGAATCACTATCAACTTCCCAGTAATAATAATGTCCAATTCCTGCATCATAGACCTCCTTCCAATGGCTCGGTAGTGGATATTTAGCTAGCATCTTTTTTCTTCTCCTCATATATTTAGGATTTGGTTCTCGCTTTTCCCAACTTTCTTCACAAAACTTTGTGCAGTCGTGGAATATGTTGTTTTTATTTGGGCAATATATATATCCTTTAAACTTCCTGGCCGAACTATCCAAAAACGAATCATTACTGTCATCGCTGAAATTTGTAAGGATTTTGTGAGCCATTTTATTGGGCTCTTGGTTTTCTACCTGGTCATCATAGTTTTCAGCAATCACCTCTTCTTCCTCTTCCAACCTGGTGTTATCTGATTTCAACACAGATTTTAAATTCTGATCAGTTTTAGAGTTTTCATCAGATTTCTCGTGTGGAGTATTTGGAGTGACTAAGCCACGCTTAGCTAGTTTAGCTGCAAGAGCAGCTGGAAGTGGCATGTTGACTTAGACAAAGTATTACTAAGATTACAGAACTTAATAAATCTGTAAAGTTTACCTTGAAAATGTTCTTTTTGAAGAGACACTTAAGGTCCGGTAAGTTTATAGGTTACCTACCTGAGTACATGAGTAGATAAAGACAAAGTTAAACATTATCCAGTCCACCTAACTGAAGAACAGTTTGATATATCATTTGTGAACAATTAAAATACTTCTGTTGTTGATTGTAAGTAATGATTATATAAGTTAAAGTTTAGTTTTCCTAAAGAAAAATCAGAATAAGTTACCATTCAGTAGTCAACAAAAGAACAAATTGACATATTGATTGACAATGATAATCTGACTCTGACAATCACATCACAATCACAATCACAATACTAGTGCAGTGCAGTGAAGTGAGTGGCCATAACGGGCAACGGGAACGGGTCCAGTTCTTGCAAGGCTCACGGGACGCTCCATGCTATTGGCAGTAATGGAGTGACGTCTACGGACATTTCTTGGAATGGAATACCCAAGGCCGTAGCCAGGGGGGGGGTAGCGGATTTCTACCCCCGGATATTTACCCCCATGAAAAAACACCTACGTCATTTTGACGTCACGAGGGGCGGGGCTTATACACGGTCGAGAAACAGCCCGCGAATGGAAATTTACCCCCAATATATTATTAAATAATCAACATGTAATTGTTTGATTATAAAGTGATTTGCCATAGCACGGAAATCTACCCCCGGACATCTACCCCCGGATATCTACCCCCGGAAATCTACCCCCGGACATCTACCCCCAGATATCCACCCCCGGACATCTACCCCCAGACATCTACCCCCGGACATCTAAACCCGGACATCTACCCCCGGAAATCAACGGATCTTCGGTTAAGCATTGTCTTGTAATATCCAGTATTAAGCATGCGATATGTCATTGTCTTGTTTAACATTATCTATCTTCCTAATTCAATAAGCTGTAACAGTCCTTTTTTCACCCAACCTACTTCGCCGATTGTTACGATTGAGGTGTCATTTTAAAGCTTAAGATCTTGCGCAGAGCAAAATGGTAATTAAAAAGGATATTTAGATTAGGGATTCAAAAGGTTGACCAACTTTCACACTATACAGTAACAGTTATAAAGGTGAAATTTGAGCACATTACTAATCAGTTCCATTTTTAAGTCAGGTTGAAAACCAGAATAGATCGTCTGCAACTGTAAACAAGAGATGGAACACTACCCCAAAACGACTGTTCGTTCTCAATTGGCCCTCTATCAATAACCTGTGTTGCCTGTACAGCGAGGCATTTTGAGAAGGAGAAAACCGGCCGGAATGCTTTAGGTTCATCAATAATGAAGATAAACGTGGTTTTAGTTACACACCGAGAATCTTTGAGTTGACTCATTTAAACTCATTGTAAATATTCATTGTTATTCATTTTGAAATAACTCCCTTAATACTTTGCAATTGCTCGAGTTCGAGCAACATGTACACTAGTTACATATTAGTAACATAAATCAGTAACAGCTTAATGAATTGGGAATATAGATGACATTAATCAAGACAACGACATATCACATGCTTAATACTAGATATTAGAGGGTAATTATTAAACGAAGGGCCATTGATTATTTTAATAAACCAATTACTAAAATCAACTACAACAATGAATATTGACCGATACGTAGTGTAGCACGGGGGGTAGATTTCCGGGGGTCGGAAATAAATAATTCTAGGGTCGGACATTTATGATTTGACCACTGGGGGTACATTTCTGGGGGTAGATTTCCGGGGGTAGATATCCGGGGTTAAATGTCTGAGGGTAAATGTCCGGGGGTAGATGTCCGGGGGTGGATGTCTGGGGGTAGATTTCCGGGGGTAGATGTCTGGGGGTAAATGTCCGGGGGTAGATGTCCGGGGGTGGATGTCTGGGGGTAGATTTCCGGGGGTAAAGTTCCGGTGTCAGGTTTATTAGCATTTTGATTAATTACAACTGTTAAGTAAACCGTGAAATGCGAGTTGATTGAATATACAATAATTTATCCATCCTAAAAGTTCGCGGCCGGAAATCTACCCCCATACATGTGACGTCAAAGTGACGTAGGCGTTTTTTCATGGGGGTAAATATCCGGGGGTAGAAATCCGGCGACCCGCCAGGGGAGGGTTAGAGGGTCAACCCCCCCCCCCCAAATTAAGTAGTAAAAATTATTGCCGTAAAAATTATGCTATGAAATTTATGCAATCGTCATAGTTTAGTTTTAAAATTTTCTACTTGGTCATGACAAATAAAAGGGGAAATGGGAGTCTGTATACAATTGGGGCACAGTTCTAGGTGTTAAAAATGGCTTTAGAAAGTCACCAAACGGCTTTGAAATTCCATATTTTTCGCAAGGGAGGACCCCCAGACCCCTTTCTTTCAAACCCCCTTGATATAACCGCCAATGACCAGACCCCCCCACCCCCGAAAGTTTGTCCTGGCTACGGCCTTGGGAATACCTTTACTGCAACGATACGAAGTGAAGGCATCGGTGGTGTGGATAGAGTGATAGAGTACTCGGTTGATGTCCCAAGAAATAACCAGATCGAATCCCACCGGTAACACGAACTTTTTGTCAAATATTTTGTTTAGAATGCGATTACTTCTTAATTGTGCATCTTTTGTTAGAATTTGAGGTATTTATGATTTCATTATATGAACAGAACTATTTTTTCGATTGGTAAACCTTCATTCGATTTTTTTCATCATCAGCAAGTTTGGTTAGATATGTTAGGCTATGACAGTTAATTTTATAATAAAGAAATTATAAAATTAATTTTTTAAATTTTCTTAATTTTATAATATAAGTATGACGTCATATATCTATGGACCATCAAAATGACGTCACGGATGGCTCCTGTGAGCCTGTCCGGAACGCGACCCTTTGCTCGACACGACCATCTCGCCTCCGCTGAGTAACACTTAAATGCAAAATGTAACAGTTGCAGTTTAAAAAGTAGTAATAAAAACGGTGGGGCACACGGAAGATTTCTCAGGTGCCGTTTGAAGTCACTAACTGCTGCATCTGAAGAAACAGACAATATTTTATAATTTCTCTATTATTAAATTAAACTGTCATAACCTAACCAAACTAACCAAACGTGCTGATAATGAAAAAAACTAATGAATAAGGTACATACAAAAAAAAGGTAATCTAAAAAAATAGTTTTGTTCATAAAATAAAATTATAAATGCCTAAAATTCAATTTTATAATTTTTATAATTTAATTTGATTTAATTTAATTTTTAATTATAAAATTAAACTGTCATAACCTAACCAAACCAACCAAACTTGCTGATATGAAAAAAATGTTTACAAAAAGTTAGTGCTACCAGCGGGATTCGAACCCGGTACATTCGGATTATCGACCCGACACGCTAGCCACTACACCACAGAGGCCGTTGGCTCAATACCGTATCGTTGCGGTAATTGTGTTCGCTCAAAGTGACGTCAGCAGTTAGTGACGTCAAACGGCACCTGAGAAATCTTCCGTGTGCCGTTTCGGTAATAAAAACTACTTTTTAAACTGCAACTGTTACATTTTGCATTTAAGTGTTACTCAGCGGAACAGATTGGATGGAGCCGTTCCTGATAAATAGTTCCTCATACCTCCCTTCGCCATTGTGACTCGGGTCGAGACTCTGCCTACTGCCTGCCTCCCCCCTTTATGTGTCAGTGTCGTGAACAGTGAAGTGTTTCCCTTTCACTGTACTAGCGTTTTCGAAAATTATGCTTTTTATTCAATATGTTGAACATGTCAGCTATATTTTCTACATTTGGCATGTTATGAATTTTGGAACGAGGAAGCTCTAAAGCAAAAAACCACCTCTCTCATGTGTGGTCCCAGGGGTGGGACATATCCCCCGAAAAATTTTATATTTTATTAGCTAACATAAATACTATTACTGTACCTTGAGTATATTCACGGCCAACTTTAACTTCAGGCCGCGGCCTGATAGAATTGGCAACGTCGCAAAGTAGGGTTGTTTAGTGTCAGCCATAAGATAACATGGCAGACAGGGGACATCAGTAGCTCATTATTTCACGCTTTATAGATTAAAATTATAATTTATGAACATAACTGTATTTAAATATTGAAAATAAAACAAACAGAATTGAAAACCAAAACAATATGAATTGAAAATGTATATCTGTACATAGCGGAGTCAATATTGTCATAGCCCAGTAACCAAGCTTTCGTACAGTAACCAATCTTTCGTAAATACACAAATGCCATTAGCTGCTTGCTGCTTAGTGCTTCTAAACAAAACAGCTGTTAAAACACGACTTTCGGTTTCGACGTTGCCACTTCGAAGGCCACGGCCTGGAGCGGCCCAGCGGCCGTTCCCCAGCCCCAGAAGAATAACAGGAAAGAATAAATTGTATTCCTATTTTTTTTCTCACTTATTGGTTTTATACTAAGGTACAAAATTGTAATTTTTTAGTTTCGAGATGCATTTTGTCATCGACTACTAATTAGTATGTTATTAATATTATTTTGTAGCTGCAAATAAAAGCATAGTTTCAGCACAACAAACTCCGCAGCTGCATAAAGTAAAGGCATAAGCACACTTTTTTGTAAACTATAAATTTGTTTGTTTTGTTTATTCTGTGTTTTTTTATGCTATTGATGCTGCTATCATCCTAATCCTCATCTCATATCGTCCGTCGGCGTCATCCGCCGGAATTTTATTGTTAACCTAAAGGCGTTATATTTTGACACGAGATATTTATTGACGATTAAAATGGAAGGAATTGAAGGTAAACTTGATAATACATCATGATTTAGGCTAAGTAATGTTAAATGTGTTATATACCCTTTGGTCAATGTGTAGAAAGCAAAAGGTAGAGTTGTTTGTGCCAACAGATTTTGAAGTCTCTAAATTTGTCTAAAGTCTCTAAATTCTTATGAATATCTCTTGTAATGTCAGTCTTAAACTATATTTTGCTTCTTCATGTATATAATATTTTGTATTGAGTATTTATTCTGTCGTTACAATTAGTATAATATGATGTCTCTTGTAATGTTAGTCTGCAACTATTTATTCTACTTGTTCATGCATGTTTTATTTTGTAAGATCATTCTATACAATCTGTCTAGTCTCTTGAATGTATTGTTCCATGTATATTTGCTATTCTTGTATTTATTTTTGCAGACCATCTTGTTTTGATATGTATTGTTTAATGGCATTTGCCGTAGAAATGAATAAATGAATGAAAGTCTACCCAAAGCAAGACCTAGCACTAACTTAACTGATAACTACTATCCTTGAGTGATGGCTACAACCATTCTAGAAGTTAACTTATTGGATTTGTTGCTTATTTTAATTTTATAGACTGGACAGTTGAGTTTAGCTATAGGCAGACCACACCATATCCATAGGGGCCTTAATTCAGTAATATTCTAAAACCCCATATCCATCATATTAATGTATTTTAGTAATCTTGGCACTCTCTTTCAATGTCTGTTAAATCCACTTTCCCCAAGTCACCTAAAACGTTCTATAAGACGTGTTAAACTGAGTTCCTAGACACCAACACATAAACTTTCTTAACTTATATGACTTTTTTGTCGCTGAGGCTTCCTGTAGACACTACGCCTAGATTACTAGACGGGACGCCTGAAAAACTCGCTTAAAGATCGTGACAGGGCAGTTTCCTATAAGTTCTAGACACCTCACCGATAACTACTATACACCACGCCCCAGATTACTAGACACCATCAGCCTACCATTACTAGACACCATTAAGTACCTAGATTAACCTAACCATAATCTGGACATAGTGTCTAGTAATCTAGGTATGGTGTCTAGGAATCTGGGAGTGGTGTCTAGTAATATTGGTAATGGTGTCTAATTATCTGTGTGTGGTGTTTTAATCTTGATGAGGTGTATAGTATAGTAAACCACGGGGTAGTAGTGTTACTTATGTTTAACCCCTTAACCGCCGTCTAAGTAGCCTAGTCAAAATCCGCCATTGCCACTTATTTTTGCCGTTTTTGACAATTTTTACTTGTGATTTAATAAACTGTACCAGTTGTTTTTCTAAAGAAAATAGTTATCAATATTGTTTGTAGACATCTTCAAAAACATTAAGCTTTAACAATACCCTACTAAAATTTGTGATTGTGGGGGGGGGGGGGGGGTGGGGTTCGGGGGTTTCTTGAGTTAGGCCTACAATAAAGTCTACAACTCTAATAAATCGTCATCCTCAAGCATGTCACCAGCCATTACGACTAATATTTACTACTCATTCAACACTACCAAGTAAATAACCACCAAAAAACACAATTATAATGACACGCATAATGTACGTAAGCATTACGTAAGCTTCCGCAAGCACAAGTTTTACTGAAACTACGAACGGAACTGATCGGGACCATTACTGACCTATAATACCACTAAAATCCACCAGATTGCAGCACTAGTCAAGCAGCACTGTCAACAACTTGTTTACGTACGTATATCAGAGATAAGGCGGGAAGTGAGCTGTTAAAAATGAAACACAACAGCTGATTACGTCAACACGAGATAACTCGTACGTGGCGGTTGCTCTGAAAACTAGTATAGCCCGGCATATCTCGTACGTGGCGGTTGCTCTGAAAACTAGTATAGCCCGGCATATCTCGTGCGTGGCGGTTAAGGGGTTAAGCCAGTTTTTCATGGTTGGTGTCTAGTACAGGCGTGGTTTCTACAGGAAATCTCAATGACAAAAAAGTAATTTGAGAAAGTTGTAGTATTGGTGTCTAGGAACAGTTTAAAAAGTCTTAGGACGTTTGGGTGATCGTCTTATAGTTGAGTTGGGGAAAGTGAATAATAACCCAATCGGTAATTTCTTAGGCTTAAGTTATGCCAATCGTTATAATCTTATCGATATTTATTTAATTTGATATTAATATTGCATTGACTTTAATAACATATGATTAAATTTAAAAAATAACAAAACATTACCAAATCGTTTTTTTTATTTTACCCTAATTTTTTCTTAGGAATAGCCTACCCAACTTAAAAGTGGAAGGAGCCACGAAGTTTCCTTTTCTATGTGGTTACGATATCAACAGTAAGTTATTGAAAATTAAAAACAGTTGTTGGTTGGATATTGTTTGTTTATTTTTTTAATACAAATAAGTTAAAAATGTAAACAAATCATAAATGAATTTGGTGTTTACATAGGGAAAAAGATAAACAATAACTTATTTTATAAACGATAGGCCTATATTGAATCAGATAAACAACAATCCTATTTTTATTCATCCGATAATATATCGCAGGTTCTTTGCGAGACAGTGCCCGATTCAATTTAAGTTAGTAAACCTTCATTCGATTTTTTCATAATCAGTAAGTTTGGTTGTGGATTAGGATACGTTATAACAGTTTCATTTTATAATTGATAGGACTGTCGTACAAATATCGATTAGTAATTGATATTTTTGATCTATATTAAGTTAGGGAAGCCCAGTTAAGAAACTGTATCTTGAAGAATTGCACAAATCAGGACAGCGTGCTGCCAGGACGATCTAACTTATAGGCTAACTTTTAAGGGGTACACAGTTTCTTAGTGCATATTTTTCCCACTTAAAATATTCAGAACATCTGTTAGTAAACTGGCAAAACTATTTATTAGTAGGGTATTTTCTGTTGTATCAATTAAATTAGGAACTCTATTTGATAATCATGGAATAGGCCTACTAAGTCATATGATAAAATATTTTTAGTCACAGAGTCTTAATAAAAAAAAAAATTAGAATAAATTGACCTAACCCTACCCAACCCTATGATTAAATAGCAATAGGTGATAATAATAGCATAACATGTTTAGGTAACTTGCTATAATTTGTTATTGAATCAAATTCAATCAATATTTCATAAGTATTCCTAGGACCGATTAATGAGGAACATATGTCTAGACTAAAACAATAAATTTTTTAGTAATCGGTGAAAGAGTCAGTGTCGTCTTTTAGTATACGGTATTACAAATTATGGTAGTGGAACCAGGTTTTAGCATCTAGTTCAACTTTAACCTTACATTGATCAGGTAATATTATAGGCTACTTAAAATTGTGAACTTTTTTGCACCATAATTACAACTATTAGGCCTAAGCTTTTTAAGAAAAAAAAAGAAAAAAACTAATTTCTTAGGTACCCTTCAAACCTGCACGGCTCGAAATGGCCCAGGGTTCTTTTGTTTCTGGGATGCCTGTACCTCAAAATCTCGGGCCAAAACTGTTTAAAGGCCTAACAAATTACCAGCCAATCTACAATCCTTAACGTCGGAAGTGAAATTCAAAAGTAAAAAAAAAATACATTTTAGACCGTGCATGTTACTCTGTTGCTAATTTTTTTCTTTTGCTAAATGCTGGTACCAAGGTGGAAGTGGCAGTTTTGGTTTGATATTAAGATAGAGATGGAGATAAAAGTTTGATTGGGACTTTGCCAAATATGTTTATCACTTTTAAAGAAGAGAAGACCACCCTGTAATACACAGCTCTAAACGCAGGATAGACCAATGACAAGTACCGGTAGTGTTTATTTCAAACAATACAGATCAGACCAGATATTTTTAAATAGAGATGGCAGTAAATGTGCTTTGCCTTACCATTCAGTCAGGCATCAAGACTAAGCTCTACTTGTACATATTTCTCTTTCTTTTGTCAGCACTGATGTTTTGTTACAGTACCACCTGTCCCTAAAAGAGTGCTCCCTCCCAAAGAAGAAAAGGAGAAAGAGAGTGACAGTAAAATTTGTATTGAAGCCAATCCAGACCCCAGTGCCCCAATTCAAAACAAGGGTATTTTAACATCTTTTGTGAATGGCAAGAAGATGGCTATTCCTGAACAAGATTTGGTAAGTAACTTTGTTAAAAAATTTCAAGGACCTTTTCCCTGGCACTTCTTTAGTGTAAAATGTATTTTACGGTGTGTTAAGTTGTAGGCCTAAATTGTATGCACTTTAGATTCTATTCAATTTACAAAGTATGAAGATGATTTATTTCCTGAAATCATCAATATGTACAAGGAAACGTCAATACATCAAAATCTTAGCCTAAGCCTGCGACACACCATGCAGAGAAGTGAAAAACAATCAGAGCAACAATCAGAGAAACAACGAATCAGAGCTGAAATCATACAGCCAAACATTGCACATCTTTTCCAGTTTAAAATTGATGATTTGTTTTGTAATCTTCTGTTATAGTTTCCATTTTTAGAACCAAATGTAAAGGTTAAATTATTATTAATTATTATGAAGGCCCCCCATCATAATAATAATAAGGCCCCCCATTTCGCGGTAGTAAGTCATAAATATATCTATGAATTTGTCCCTGAATTTTAAAACAGTAAGGCCCATTTCCCGGAATCTCTTTTTGTGTAGAGGAAAGCAACGCAAAAGCCTTTGCACTGTTGTATTGCCTTATGTTTCTTATTAAGTTTGAAGTTCGAATCATGTAAAAACGGTTTTTTAGTTTGTCATTTACTTGTGGTTGTGGCATGTCCATTGTGGCAACATGCGTTGAAATGTCCATTTGTGGCCTCCTCTGCTAAGTGAAGTGCGCCACAATACATGCAAGTGCTGTTAAGGGGAGCATGCCGTGAGATGGGTAAAAAAAATTGATTTTTTGAAAACGCTTTAAACTTATTGCCCGTTTAATGCTGTTTAAGAAAATATATAACACTATATACATAACTTGTATATTTTCAGCTAAATAAAACAATTAAATAATGTTTACACATGTTTGGCGCTAGGCCAACTAGCGTGCTCTCCTGAGATGCTCATTGTTTTCACACAAATAGTAACCATCTATCTAAGTAAATTTAGTATATAGTATAACTAGTAAACACTAAGGAGTATTTCATTTGTGCTGTTGGTAGCACTGAATATTTACAGATTATCTGCTGGCCTTCTACTTTGTTTGTTTACCTAATGTTTACATCAAATTACATCTGTCGTCTATCCCAGTGATTGTTGATTGTTGTTGTTGTTGGGATTTTATTCATTTGGTGTTTAGTTTAGAGTTTTGTCGTTACTTTCAAGTAAATGAGGCCTAGTCTTTCATCAAAATGCCTATGATTAGAAAGTTTGGGAAACACAAGTTTAGAGGAAATAAATTGCTAAGGCAAATGTTTTGGAACGGGTAGGAATCAAACCAGGAAAGTTTACTGTTATTATATAGTTTAGGCTTACAAAAATCGACCAAATCAGAATAAAAAAAGCTGACAGAGAAGTGCAGGAAGAAAATAAAAAGCAAAGAATAAGAAGAAGGTTAACAAAAAGGAAACTAGAAGACAGTCTCTGTGTTGAATTCTTGCCAGGAGGTTTTCTAGTGCACTAGTGACAGTAGGCCTATTCGTGTTCGTGTTTAAGTTCAATTTCCCGAAACTTCTGTTTTTTAGTGTTTAGGTACCCTACCGTTTCTATGGAAACCGTCATGAGTAGAGACTTGAAATTTTTACCAGTTGTTTCTGCTAGATTGTTGAGTAGAATGATGCAACTATGTAATATTATCTTCATTATAAATGGTATAAATATTTTTATTTTCATAAAAAAAATAATAAAAAAAGTATATAAAATTTTTTAAATAATATATTTTTCTAACTATTTGCCATAAATTAATTATTTTGCATGGTTATACTGTTTTATATGTATAGGAGCATCAAAAAAAATTTCAGATCAATATCTCATATATTTTTTGAGATATTGGTACCGATATAGAAGCTTGTTACCCCATATAATTAGCATTGTGGCCTAACTCACAGCGTGCTCCCCTTAAGAGGACCTAGATTGTGAGAAACAACACTCAACTCATTTTCCAGCGTTCTTCTGAAGGCAGGTTGTAAAACAGCTTCTGGATTTCTTTCACAGTTAGGCCCAACATGACAATCTCTTTCAGCATTTCTTAAATCTGTTGAATTCCTGGACACTCTTCCACGTCTTGGACCTGCATAGTTACTTCACTCGTTATAAAAACGGAAAACAACAAAATTAAACAAATACAATTGATTTTGAAACATTATTTACCAACATGGACTTTTGGAATAAATGTAAACATTGCAAATAAATAAGTAACAGCTGATAGAATGCAAACGTTTTCCAGTCCCCATGTATTTCTTATGGTGGATATTTTACGTTATATCTCGTTTTCTGGTAACTTTATGGGAATTCTGCTATTTTTCCCGAGTCCCTGGGGTCAAGACCTTTAATTTAAGACCCCTCCCACTTTTCTGCGACTTACCAGGCGTCCACAATATTCTGGTAAACATTTTGTCTTACAGAATTATATATATAAGGCTAATTTTTCAGCAGTACAATGTTAAATACTGCAGTGAATGCAGATATCCTCAGATCCTGCAGAAGTTCCTCAAATCTCTCGCCTTAGAAAATGAAAGAAATCGTGAAAATGGTAAAACATTTAAAATATATTCTATTAATTTTGTGTAGGCTATATTATTTTAAAGTTACCCAAGGATTGCTTCTGTGCATATAGCCTACATAATATACATGTATATACATAATGCATATTTTTCTTTTGCAGTTTGGTCGATGTAGGTTTGTGTCGGAATTTGAGAAATTGAACAGGATTGGTGAAGGCACGTACGGCATTGTTTGTGAGTATATGATCTTATTTTATTAGCGGTAACCATCGGCATGTTTTATCCTGTTGAGATCTTTTGGCTGATATGGACCGAGTAAGACTAAGGTAACTAAACTCACTCATCACTTCTTTCTTTGCGAGTATAACTTAATAAAAAAACCCGCAGCAGCAAACCTGCAGACTAAGCGAATTTCCATTTGCCTGATTGTATTTACACTAAAATTTCTCCATAAAAATATCACATTTTTATTCCCTATTTAAATATCATTAGTGTAACGAGTAGGCCTACTTGGGTTTTGCTGGAACAGGGAGAGTAAAAAAGTTATTTTTTTGTAAAATGTTAATAGCACTTAGGAAGCCCTAAAGTTGTTTAATGGTGTATGAAACCAATGCATATTCCGAATTTGATAAAAATATGCTCAAACAAGCAAACAACAGTTTACTTATTCTCCATAAGAAAAACATGGGAATTTAAAATTTACAATTTTATGGAATTTTCTCCGTAACCATTAGGCGCATAATAACGCTTCAATATACTAAATTATTTGTTTTTTAAGCTCTATAAAATTATTTGGACATAAATTGCAATTTTTTTTATTTCTAGGGTAAAAAATAGGTAAACCCCATAAAACTCCCCATAAACCCCTGTTCCCATAGTCCGATCATGCCGGTTCGCGAACTCGTTAGAATAAATGTAGGTTCACCTGTTTATGTTAGGACCTCACGGGGTATGTATGATTCATCGTTTGAGCGTCAGTGCTGCCAAAACCGGTCCCGGTTGGCCTGCGGATCGATACCTATCGGTACAAATTTCACTCACTACTGTATTGTGTTTCAGATCATCTTTGATTACACGTACATTTTAATTATTAAAGGTCACTTAGCTAATGTGTAACTTAACTTTCCATTTGTATCTTTTTTAGAGCTTTAATTTAAGCTTTCATCGTAGTTTCTAACTTGTTCCATCCCTGAAATAAAATGCCTTTACAAAAACCATTAACAGAATTTTTTAATTGACGCAAAATTCTAAAACTCTTAATAATGTGCTTTATAAGTATAAGTTCTAAAAGCTATCAAAATTTCATGACGATTATGTCAGTAGTTTTTTGTTATTAAATGTTAAAGTCGCCTGTTGTTAGGAAAGCGGAAAAAAACCTGTACCTTTTACATTCAACTCACTGAGTTGAAACTGCATACAAAATTTGAAACCAATACACATACAAACGCAGAAATAAATTTGTAAAAATATGATTTAACTTGTATTTTTTTAAGTCTACTGGTTACGTTTCAATAAAAGCTCAAACTCAAGTATCTGGGTATACTTTTTGACTCGACAGTAGGTCACTAAACAGTCCATGGAGTTTAAAGGGTCATGGTGAAATTGAATTTTGGCCAAATGGCCTTTTTAGGTCAATCTATTCCCAGTTGATCAAAACCGATTATACTGGAGTGTAAATTAGAGATGGAGGTGATATACTGTAGTAGTTTAATTTAAGACGTACGCGTAAACAATGCTGTTATGAGAAACTTACCAGTTCTATTATCTGAACTGAAACGGCTACTTTAAAAAACTGTTGTAGTCGTAGGTAAAAGTAATTTTATCTTTCCTACAAGATGTACGGTATGGTTGAAGATTTATCCTGAGTGTTGTTTTAGATCGAGCTCTGGATACGAAGAATGATTGTGTTGTTGCTTTGAAGAAAGTACGAATGGAACATGAGAAAGATGGACTGCCTGTGAGCGGACTCAGGGAAATATCTGTCCTCTTGAGCTGTCGACATGAAAACATTGTTCAGCTAAAAGAGGTCGTCGTTGGAAAAAGCCTTGAAAGGTAACATAATCAAGGTGTGGGTAGAAGATTTGAACACGGTACAGATATACTACAGCGTAGTAGACATTTAATTCACTCTTAAATGTGTTAGCCAGTTTCATAGGGGAAAATATTCAGGTATATTGAATCACCTATAATTCTAACAATGTTTTTCTCAAGAACATCATGATGTGTGTTTTTTAAAGACAGCTGGACTACACACACTTATTTGTGCATTTTAAGCTGAATCGTTTGGTGTAATTTGTAGGCCATTGGTATAACGGTAGTGTAAGGGAGATATAGGTTTTATATTTGTAGATATATGTAAACTAGAGGTTGTAGAGGTTGAATTGTAGATAGGAAGTGACCTTGCCAACTAGGAAGCGTGCTGGAGGTGTTTTGGTAAACACTGGGTGCTTTGCACTCAGTAGCTGTCGGGTCAATAAATAGGCCACCTGAGGTAGAGAAAGGGGTCAGTTGCCCGGGGCAAGGTGCCCAGGAGAGTATATAGACACACGGCAGCCGATTTGATCGACCAGAACAACTACAAACCCGAGAAGAAGCCTCAAATTTCAAAGACCACAAATGTTCACCTGATCCATTGACCCATCAGAGAGCGTTGATCCTTTGACTTAACCAGCCTTTGTGCCGCCACCCGAACTGCCTCTAGCCACTAACTCCGCTCAAATGTCACCGACCAAAAACACAATAGTAAACACAATAGTTCGGCTGCGTGCCGAATGCAGCCGGACTTAAGCGACAATCCCCGAACCCTCGTTCAATGTGACATACAATTTTGCAGACAGCTGACGATCAGCTGATGTCATTCAAACACAATCTCAGCCCGTTCATAATGTGAATCTCGAGCTCCATACACATTCCGACACTTCTACTTGTGAATTAAACCTCACAAATCATTTAATGTGACCCATAACTAGCTTTAATTGTTACGTGTACTGGCGAAATTACCTGCTGTCAAGTGATCCTTTTGACCTTGAAAGGCGACCGGTTTTGATCCTCACGGGATCTTCTTCAGGCGGACGTCGTCATTGTCTTTTCATTATTGCGAACACGTCGTTTTTTAAAAAAACATTGAGATTTACAGTTTTTAACATTTAAACACTTAACACAAAACACGAAAAATGGCCAATAACTATTATGGTACCGATCAGTGGAGCGGCGGGCGACACGGAATTTGAGACCATGACTCTGAAGAGAAAAGGAAGCCATAATTAACTCTTTGAGGTCAAATTTTTTCTTCATTTTTCAGCGAGTATTAAGGTTGCCATTTGAGCAGTCGTGAAAATGGCGCCCGGCGACCTATACTCGCCATTCTGCCACAAAGGGTTAAAATTGTTTAAGAAAGGATTAAAATTGCCTCCATGGACTCTTAAGGAAACAGTCCAAACCAAAATGAATGGGTTTAGAATGTATGGGAATGATCTTTATATCTTTGTTACTGACTAAAGACAGCTGTTTCTTTAGCAACTTGGACTGTTTAATTTAAGTACAACAGATCAAGAACAGCTGGGTCCAGTTTCAAACTATACAAAATTACAAACATTTCTCAAGGTCGAAACAGAACAGTATTAGGCCTACCATTCAGAGTGTTATGAATTTACACTTTGGTGAAAATAACTTTTCCTACAGTTACCTAACAATTTACATGTTCTCTCACTGATTTGAGAAAGCAAAGTGGCCAATTCACTCATCAGTGAGACGAGTGCGTAACATGCAGTCAACGTCGTATGCGCGCGAAATACGTTGGCAGCACTGGCTGTAAATCAGCTGGTCAGCTGTTGTACTGTTGTATTTGTCACTTCACATTAAGTGTTATATTAAAAGTTCACTTCTGTGTAAAAATAGGTTATGTTTCTTCATAAATTATGGTAACAAATTATGGTTTTATGGTAACTGTAGGAAAAGTATAATGTGCAACTCGAGTTCAAAGTACAATTGCCTCACTCGAGAAACAATTCCTCACTCGCCTACGGCTCGTGAGTAAGGATTTCTCTCGAGTGAGTCAATTGCTCACTTTTCTCACTAGTTGCACAAATAACTATTATTAAACACTCTCCTAACTATTAATTCCAATATTACCAGTTCTTCTTGAAGACTCTCTTAACTAGTAACTCATTTAGTATTTTTGAGTTCCAGCATCTTTCTGGCAATGGAATACTGTGAACAAGACCTAGCCAGTTTGTTAGACAACATGAAAGCTCCATTTTCCGAGTCGCAAGTAAAGTGCATCATGATCCAAGTACTTAGAGGGTTGCGTTATTTGCACAAGAACTTCATTGTACACCGCGACCTCAAAGTGTCCAACCTGCTGATGACTGACAAGGGATGCGTCAAAATAGGTTTGTTTTACATTCATTAAATAATATTTTTGTATATTCACAAAATATGTTTCATCCTCATTTTAACAAGTGTTGATTAGGTCCATCAAAAAGAACTTTTAATGTAATACCTTTGACCATTAATACAACTTCTATTAATACTTCAGTATCTGATAGTCAATGGTAATACTGAAGTGTTGATTAGATTACCGTCTTTATCTTTAAGCTGAAACGCTATTTTTTATGTATTGAATAAATTTGTTCTCTCAAATTAATGTCGACATTAGAGATTATAGTCAATGAATGAGTAGTTTACCTCGCTACTGGGATCGAGTCCTGATGTTCTAGAACTGCAACTTCTTCTAAGACCAAAACAATACAATATGCAAACCAATATGCTTTAACCATAGATAAAACATACTCCCTTAGTAGATTTGTCATCCTTATGGAACAACTGAAGCCAATTTTATTGTTAGTTCTGTACGTCAAACTGTAGAGGTTGTGTTTTAATTACAATTTGTTTTTAGCAAATTTCCCATTTAGGGAATAAGCTATTACCATAGTACTCATGGTAAGACCTGGACCCGGGACCGATTTAATTTTTCGTTTTAAGGTCCCTAGAGGCCAAAAACACCATCCGTTCAAATTCATATATATATATATATATATATATATATATGTGTCCGTAAGCGTGATAACTCGAGCAAAAAGATCAGATTTTGATTAAATTTGGTACAATTGTTTAAACCTACGTTTATTTGACCGAGTTCGCGAACCAGCATAATTGGACAATGGGAACGGGGGTTTATGGGGGGTTTTATGGGGTAAAAATGGGGTTTTCCCCTTTTTGACCCTAAAAACAACAAAATTGGCAATATCTTTTTAAACTGTTTTGTAGAGCTTAAAAAAAGAAATAATTTAGTATATTGAAGCTCTGTTGTATGCCTAATGGTCACGGAGAAAATAAAAAAAAGTGTAATTTAAAATTCTCATGTTTTCTTATGGAGAAAATGAAAACTGTTGTAGTTTACTTGTTTATGGATATATGTTGATAAAATTTAGCACATTTATTTATTTCATCCTATACTATTGACGTAACACTTGTTACCTTCCCACTAGCAGCAAACCTAAGCACTCGTTAAACCTAATGTTATATAAATTGGGAATAAATATGTCTTATTCATGGCAATATTTTAGTAATAATGTAATCAGACAAGTTGAAATTCGCTTAGTCTGCAGGTTTGCTGCGGGGTGGGGGGGGGTATTTGTTATTTCAGTCATTTAAAATCTCATAAAACGATATAATCTTAAACAATAACTGGTCTCCTAGTTATATAACCAAATTGTAAAGCACAAATCATGAAAATAACCCTAAAATAATATAAACAAAATTTCATCTACCCCAGCGATCAGTGTGGACGTACATGAACTAGACACGAAAAACAAGCTTCAAAATTTACAACGGGATGTATAGTCTACTTGTGTTGCTTAGTCTATGCTTTAACCCTCTTGGTGTCAGTCATTTTTTGTGTGGTGTCAATAGATTTTCGGGAATTTTTTGCCATGTTTATTAAAAAATTATAACAAAGTTAATTTGCAAAATAACTATACTTTGTTATATATTTTTGTCCAGCTAAATACATGCCCATCATAATTCAGCACAAATAATTTGGTTTCTATACCCATTTTATGATTAAAAAGTACGTAGAAAGTACCCAATAATCACTATTATTTACCTAACTACTGCGGAATCGGACTGGACACTGTCACTGGAAAAACACAAAACTGTCACAACACAAATACACTCTAGTATTGTATAGTCATCAGCCGATGACTCTTTCAGCAGTGTTTAATGGGTGTGATGGACTGCCAGTGTCTGATTAAAGAGAGACAACTATATTTATTATTTGTAACATATAAAACCTCTGAAAACATCATTGCAGCTGATTTTGGCCTGGCCAGATGGTTCGGTCTGCCGGTGCGTCCGATGACACCGAGAGTTGTAACATTGTGGTACAGAGCTCCTGAGTTATTGCTGCAAGCAACCACACAGACGACGAGTGTAGATATGTGGGCAGCTGGCTGTATACTAGGGGAATTGTTGGGTAAGTACTTGAGTAAGAACTCCCATAAAATCTTAATTTATATTTGTTCAATTTTGTAATAAGAAATTATTTTATTACGTAGCTACGGAAGGTGCCAAATGTAGATTATTTGATTCTGTACATGGTTAAACCTTATGCCAGCTCATCATTTTTTATTTATTTTTCGTTCCTGTATATGCTACTGGAATTTTTAGAAATGAAAGGAAGCGGTATTCAAACACTTTTTGGTAAAACGTTTAAAACCCATATGCCTTGTGGGTGTGCCGGGAATCAAACCGGTCCCTCTCGCATCGAATTTTGAGACACTAACCACTAGGCTAGCAACATATCCAAATCTTCAGCAACCAGTCACAAATTGTAAGGTAAATCCCATCGAGCAATATTTGTTGAATATTCTCAAATACATACATGTACACACAAAAATTAACATTTGGCACTTCCTAAAACTGCCATTATATACTGTACAAGTATTGGTGTACGTTCGATGGAATCTGTATAGGCCTACTCATATATCGACATACAGTTGGCCCACAAATGTCTCAAGGATTTTTGTGAGAATCCCAGCAGGCTTACCAGAATGGGAGAGTGTCCACTTTGGCACAAAAAGTAGGTACATAACTTTATAGTATACACAACATATTAGAATAGTAAAACTGCCACTGACAGCATTTTCTACCAGGGAAGGGTTAAATCTGAGAGAAATGTGTTCCAAGTCAAAACATCTCTCTCCAACTCAAACTGTAGCGTCACTGATACATCAAGTTGAGCGAGTGTAGGCACCATGAGTGTACAGGCGTGACGTCACCGAGACGACTTGAGACAGTCAAAGTTAGCTAGATGCGTCCGCACACCAAAATTCGCCGGAGGGACGTGCCAGGAGTAGTGTTAGTGTAGTGAAAGCAGCCCTGTGGTCGACGTCTCTCCGTACCGATGAATATTATTAGCATGGGTAGATAATGATATGGGTGTTGGGGAAGAGACTAGGGCAATGTGTAGTTAATTAATTATGTAGAATCTTTGCTTGCCAAGTCGGTCGTGGCCCAGTTCACAATGATTAATATTTGAATTCACGCTAGCTACTTGTAAATATAATCATGCAATAATATTAGTCCAATAGAGTATATAATGGATCCAGGTATCTTTATAGACATTCATCCTACCGCATTTCGCCACAATACCTTCCTTGTTTGGAAATGTTATCTGTTGTTGGTGGGATATTCTAACTCTTTTGTTTCATTTGCCTGTTAGGACTCTTTCCCAATCAAGGAAGCCTTGCTATTCTCTCAAAAGTCCTTAGACTCCATATGTTGGTTAGATTCTTCAACTCAAATTATAGCCTAACAATAACGTGTTAAATCAGGCCCATATTTTTTTCTGTCAACAGATCACAGGCCCTTGCTGCCGGGCAGGTCAGAGATTGGCCAGTTGGAGTTGATCGTAGACCTGCTAGGCACTCCCAGTGACGCTATCTGGCCTGAGTTCTCCTCACTACCTGCCCTTGCTACCTTCACCCTGAAGCAACAACCCTACAACAACTTGAAACAGCGGTTCCCATGGCTCACACCGGCTGGGCTGCGTTTGCTCAACTTTCTGTTCATGTACGACCCGAAGAAACGGGCGACTGCGGAGGAGTGTCTTCAGAGTTCGTACTTCAAAGAAGCACCTCTTCGTAAGTTAATGGACATGTGAGATAAATTCTTAGGCAACCTTAATTAATAACAGTGGCTGACCCGTTTGTTTTAATAGCTATGAAAAACTGGATTGAACAGTCAATTTTGTGGTGAAGAAAATTAGATAAACATAATTTTTTAAACCCAGTTTTGTTTCATAATGATAATCAATTTAGCTAACATAGGCTTTTAATAACCTATGTTAGCAAAATTGTTTTTAATTCTACGTCATAATATTGAATTGTATTTCTAAAAGAAGACATCAAAAAAGGTCGATTGAAAATAGCGGGCTTGCACATCTCTAATAAGTAGATGTTCTTTTAATCAATGAGCTTTTTTGATACTAAAAAAACTTTTGATACAAAAACAACACATCCTGAGTTACTCTTAAGTATTTTGTGCCACTGAAGGGTGCAGATCACTAGTGTGTTGTTTGTGAATAATTTTAATCCGTTGTAACATCTACAGCTTGTGAACCGAAGATGATGCCGACGTATCCACAACACCGGAATTTGAAAGCTGCAAATGCAAAGAACCCTTCTAACGTAAACCCACCACCTCCTCCTGTTGTAAGTGCGATGGACATGGAGCCAACCAGCAATTTGAGTGATCTTGTAAGTTCTGCTATTTGATTCTTAGTAGTAAAATCAAAATTATGGATTTTTGGTGTCCTTTTAGATATTGACCATGATGGAATTTCATTTTTCATGTGGACCTGCTGTAGCCAACCTTTCTTCACCTAAAAATGTTGAATTAGCCACTAACAGTATACTACTGTCAAAATTATATGCTATTTTATGGTAAATGTTGATACTTTGATGGTTCACATGGTATTGGAAATGTTTTAGTTCACAATAAATTCATCTTTCAGTTTGGCTCAGTTAAAAAGTGGGCCCATATACCTACAATATAAATCAGTAATTGACACACACAGATGAAGGCAAAATTTAACCTGGTTAATTTGTATTCTAACAACTTTGATATGGGGCACAATGCCAAAAGTCTGTTCACCAAATTTAGGCAGCCTAAGAGGAAGGTTTCCCCACCACCTTTTTAGCTTTATCTATATATCAGATATTGGCTATTTCAAAGTTAACGTGAGAGGTGGGAGGGAGTGGAATTACTCCCCCTCAAACCATCACAATTTTTGTGAACGGAGTACAGTTCTATCCATTGTCAAATCAACGGGAGATCAAGTTAGTTGTTTGAATTTCTTACAAAGCTCTGTTAGTTGAATTGGTCTTAAGATTTGTCTACTTCAGTATCCAATAGTCAAAGATAATAGTATCTATATTATTACAAGAATTTGTTAACAAATCGACCCCTTAATATTTATTTTTTTAGGCATATTGAGTATCAATTTAAAGCTCTTATCCTCTAGAAGTGCCTTTTGTGGGATTGGAAGATATCTCGTGATAGCCCTTCGTCCTATATGCTCTTAAAATTTCAGAGTTTGTGCTGAATTCTGTTGTCAATCATCTGAACTGTTTCAAGCTTACATTTGTTTACAATGTTAACATCAAAATTAAATAAAATAAAATATGTTTATTGTCTTTTGGTTTTTTTTAAATTATTGACAAAGTCATAAAATAGCTAAAATTATAGCATAGTCGGGGGATTGAATACAATATTGCTAATTACACAAAAGTAGACATGTTATCATAGGTACATATTATAAATATTACAACTGATCTTTATGTAAAAAAATGTGTTGCATTTAGAGTAATGGAAATGATTAAACTTCATGACCAACAAAATATATATAATATTAGGTACAACAAATAGGTACAACAGTAAATAGGTTAATTTGCTAACTCTACTTAAAAGTTAATACAAGGCATTTCAAACAAATCATTTAGAGAATAAAAAGGATTGTTCAAAAGCCATTTGTAGAATTTAGTCTTAAAGACATTTTCAGGATATTTTTGTATTACATGTATTCTTGTGTTTTTTTAGTTAGATTGCGATATGGCTTTTAAGAGATTTAGGCAGTATAAAAAAAATCTATTATAGCAACGTATTTATTCCTTGTATTGTGAACATGAGAATTTTGTTTGATTAAGTTGGTTTTTTTTTAATATATGATACAGAGTCAAATACATTGTTAATTACTGTTTGAATTTGTAGCTGAATGAACAGGGGTTTAAAGTGTTCCAGTTGGGGTTCACAAGATATGATTCTAACTAACTTCTTTCGTGGCTAAAATTTCCTCTATCCTACTGAAATTGCCTTAAAAGATAATATTGTATCTGAAAATAGATTGAAAATAAGCAAAGTAGGCTGTTTTAATATAATTTTTATCCATACACTGTATTAGTTTAGTCATAAGATAAATTACCCTTGAAAGCTTAGAGCTTATGTAATCGATATGAGGTCCCCAAGAAAGGGTCTTATCCAGATATATACCAAGAATTTTAAAATTGTCTACATAACCATCCAACATATTTAATTGGCACGGTCTAAGGCCAAAACTGATGGCCATAATAAAATTTTGTTTACATCTAAAGGTAAATGGGGTTATCTGTAGTTGGTGATGTTTCAGTGACAAGTAAAATATTAAGGGTGTAGCATAGAGCACAAGGGCCTAGATTTTTTTTCAAAAATCAAGTAAAATATTGTAAGTTAATGATGTAAAGGAGAAAATTACTTGCTTCGGATTTTGTGTTTTCATAGTATGTTTTATTGATGTTACATAGGGAATTTGAGATTTTGTGATTTCATAGTATGTTGCATTAGCATTTTAATTTTACTAAGATGCCTCAATGAAATCGTGCACAAAATGAAAATAATAAGGCACACAATGCAAATCATAGGGATATGATGAGAAATAATCGTTTTCACCGTTATCGACTACATATCCAATATATTGAAGTCACAAAGTGACACCTAGGCTGCTAGTAGATAAGTTAGTTATGTTTATCAGACCTGTCAGTTCTGTGTTCCTATATTATGTAGGCTAGGGTGTTCTGAATGTATTCAATCGGTAGTTGTGACTATTTTATAATTTTATGCTTATTTTTTTGTTTCAGATTAACTTGGGCAATCTAGTTAAGAGGAGAAAGATTGAATAGTTTGTGGCTACTAATCATTTCAACAAGTGTAAATAAGTGTTTATGTATGACATGTGTTATGAAAAACAGTTTGCTGTACCAATTTTAGTTTTAATTATTTCTAATAAACTCTTTGTATTCAACTGTTTTTGTTTTACTTTCTCATATCTCAATGTTAACTTATAACTTGACCACTTCTTTCAGATTTATGTGGATTTTAGCCTGTAAAGTTTAACCAAGTTTGAGTTAAACTCCTCTAATATTATATTCTCTATGAATTTTAATTTACTCTGATTACACTCATTAAACTTGATTGCAGAATGTTACGATAAACTCTTCTTACTTTTTAACCCTGTAGGTAGGGCCTGCATATAAAAAAACCTATGAAAAGTGTGGAAGATTGGCTAAGAGCTGGGAATGTGTGTCAACATGAATTTTACCCTCCAAAATTCAGTTTGCTAAAAAAAAAATAATAATTGCAATTTAGTGAAACAAAAATGTTATTTCCAGTGATAAATACTTGCAAGTAACAGAAGTTTACGCAACGATCGGATAAGAATAGTATTTACGACACAAGTAGGAAATTTATGGTACAAGCCTTGGCGAGTGCCTTTAAAACTTCATCGAGTGTCTTAAAGGCTACATAATTAAACGAGTTGCGTTCACTACTTTACCTATAACCGTTTCTTAATTACTAAAAACCACTACTCATAACTTCCAAGAGAGGTTATGTTTATCTAGTACCAACTCATTGTTTAATCAACTATAGTAAATTGATCTTGACAGCTGATAGTAGACGTATTATATTTTTCACCACACTATGATGTTTTTAGCTGTTTTACGTTAATTGGTGGCTGAAAGTTACGTTTTGCTGGCCATGCCAGCTGTCGTCATTTGGGGACCAAGCAGGTTTTTACATCCCTAGGGCCGCAAAATCAGCTGCTCGCTTACTTTCTTAAAACATGAATGCATATTAAATACACAATCAATAGCCATAGCATTGCAATAGAATCGTTTTATTGACTAGCGTCTAGACTGCCAGTGCAAGTCCGAGGAACGGAGGATCAAGGATCAGATCATACCGGCGCATCAGCATAGCTTATCTAACTGTTCGCGGAAAATTGTTATCTGTATCACTGTTGCTGTCAAAACGTATAATTTGTAGATTAAATTTGAATTAAATATAATTAAACTATCATAACCTAACCAAACTAACCAAACTTGCTGATAATGATAAACTCGAATGAAGGTTTACTAATCGAAAAATAGCTCTGTTCTAAAAATAAAATTAAAAATGTCTCAAATTCAATTTTACAATCTTTTAATTATAAAATTAAACTGTCATAACCTAACCAAACCAACCAAACTTGCTGATATGAAAAAAATTGTTGACAAAAAGTTAGTGCTCCCAGTGGGATTCGAACCCGGCACCATCAGATTATCAGCCCGACACGCTATCCACTACACCACAAAGGCTCATGACTCAGTTCGGTTCAGTATCATTGCAGTAATGGTTGACGTCACGCCATCGGCACTGAGCGGTGGTGGGGGGTTTTTCGATCTGATCCACGATCGGCCGTTCCTAGGAGTTGCACTGGCAGTCTAGATGCTTATGTTTTATTGTCACCGATGCCTAGCAACTATTTATTATTATTTTTGCTGATTCCTCAAATTATTTCTTCACATAACCTTAAAGTTGTAGTTGTGTTGTCTATCAGTGTGCATTATTATTGTGGTGAATAGTGGTAATAGGGTATAGTGGGGTAATACAGGCAATGTTCGCGAGCATGCTCGACCGTCTCTTGGAAACGCCGAGCATGTTCGCGAGCGTATCTGCCAACAGGCTCGCAAACATGCTCGCCTGTGTATGGGGGGCTTTAGAGAGCATTTAAAATTTTGACTTTGTTTTAGTGAAATATAATTTGTTTTAACTAACAACTGGTTGAATATAAAAAAATGTTATAGAACTAGCCTATCAGGTTAGTTTATTATTCTGTGATTATGCCATTGATTATAGGAAATAAGTAAGATTCTATAACCACTGATGAATACAAATTGGGGCTCTGCCCCCGAGTCTTCAAAGTCAATGTTATGCAAATTATTTTTCTGTTCGACTTTTTAAGGAAAGAATAGGAAAATAACAGTGTTTACATGTTTTAATTCATCTTGGCAGCTATTTGTTTACAAATTACAATTCATGTTTAACCGCTAAAACATTGCTTGGATTAGAAATGGATATATTGGCATAGCTCCAGTTTTAGTTGACTACTCAATTTCCGTACGTAGAACGGGCCAACAGCATTGAAACTATCGATCCGATTAGTAAACTTTCATGCGATTTTTTCACCATCAGCAAGTTTGGTTAGTTAGGTTAGGTTATGATAGTTAAATTTTATAATAGATATATTTAAAAATATTGATTATTAATCAATATTTTCAATTCGATAGTTTCAATCGATATTAGCATAGCCCAGTTAAGAAACTGTACCCCCCTTTTGGCCTAAAATACCTTCTTTTGTATGGATGCCATTTCATTACAATGTATGTAACCAGTAATAAAGCCCAAATTAGGCCTACATTGGTCCCAAATGCAAGCTTGTCAGAAATTTATGTTCCAAATACTCCGCTTAGGCTACTCATTCCTTAGGCGTACACATCACCAATATGGTAAGTTAATACGATTTGTTTGTTTGCAATTTGTACAAACTAAAACCTCATTAAGTTTTACACCTCGCTTTTCACCTCTGGCAGAATTTCAATTTCAGCGCAACTACTAGAGTTAGGTATCCATAAATTAAAGGCCATGAGTGCCCTAGTAATAATGGCTGGCTAGTTGAATGTAGATTTGTTGCACTGAGATAATAAATGCTGAAATGACTGTTCTTAGTGCAGCTAACGATTTATACCTACCAATCTCAGTAATTTAAAACTTATGGTTCACCCATACTCGCCCTGTAATAGACACCAGTGTCTGTGTCATAAAACTCTAATCGGTACTTTCCTGTTAAAGGAAACATCATTATTATCCATGATTTTTTCCATTGAGCTAAAATTATAACTGGAGGTAGCACTGCCATGTCAGAAGTCTGTCAAGAGCGTGTCGCTGATTTTGTTAGGTTGGTACAGCAGTGAGTTTTCTTAACCAATAACATGGCTTCTATAACTAGGTTGGTATAGCAGTGAGTTTTCTTAACCAATAACATCGGCTTCTTATAACTCACACCTCACACAAACATGGCGGCTGGCGACACGCATCTTTGACATTCAGTGCTACCTCCAGTTAGAATTATAGCTCAGTGATTTTTTCTATAGGCCTATTTTTGTTTTCCTTTTCGATCCATATTCCAGAAGGCAACTCTGTTTTAATATCTTCAAAGGCATTACCTACCGGTAGTTATAAATTGACAACTGATCTTGTTTGGGCTAAAATATAGTTAATATAGCTAAATAAGTTATATGGATTAAGAAATGAAACTGTTCTTAGCTAACCTAAGATAATTAAGTAAACTTGCAGTACCGGTACCATTTTAAAATTCCTTTTGATAACAAAAAAGGAAAGTTAAGTTTTAAACGTCAGAAAAGAATTTTTAAATGTTGTTACAGCAAGTTTGGTTAGTTGTGTTAGGTTAGTTTGGATCAGTTGAATTTCAAATTTCAATATAACAAGCAGTTTTTCACCATCAGCAAGTTTGGTTGGTTAGGTTGGGTTATGATAGTTAAATTTTATAATAGATATATTTAAAAATATCGATTATTAATCAATATTTTCAATTTGATAGTTTCAATCGATATTAGCATAGCCCAGGAAACGATATTTGTTTACTTTAGGGGCTTCTAACGAATTTTGAAAAAAATGTTTTTTCTCGTTATTTGGCCTATTTTGAACGCTTAAAATTACATTTGGCACTTTTGGGGCAAACGCCTATTTAATCCTGAAAATCGCGTTTGAAAATTGCAAAAAGTGCTAAAAATTTGCGTGGGTTTTTTACTCTTAATGTGTTTTTTCTAGGCCTATTACTCAGGACCTACAGAACTAAATATAATCCAACCTAACTTTATCTAATCTAATCTAACCTAACTTAACCTAACCTAACCCAACCCTACCCTACCTAACCAATGCTTAGGTTAGCAATATGCCAAAAATACCGGACTATTAGTTAAACCAAGGTTAGGTTAGGTTAGTTAAGGTTAGGTAACCTTGGTATGGCTAACTTAGTTATTAAGTTATTATTTAAATCAATTAGCCTAAAATCACCTGAATATTTGAAATCTAACCTAACCCAATCCTACCTAACCTAACCCTACCTAACCAATGCTTAGGTTGGCAATATGCCGAAAATAGCGGATTTTTAGTTAAACCAAGGTTAGGTTAGGTTAGGTTAGTTTAAATATACATCTGTTTATTACTACAATAATAAAAAAACATTTAAAGAAAGGCAAGGGGGGGAAAACCTGAAGTAAAAATGGCAATTGCTGAACAATTTTTGCGATTTTCAGGGTGAAATAGGCGTTTGCCCCAAAAGTGCCAAAATGTAAAAAGTGTTCAAAATAGGCCAAATAATGAGAAAAAACAGTTTTTTTCAAAATTCGTTAGAAGCCCCTAAAGTAAACAAATACCGATTAGGCGTCCAGCAGTTACTGTAATAACCTAACCTAACCAACCAAACTTGCTGATGATGGAAAAATGGAATGAAAATTATAACTTAAATGCCTCAAATTCTAACAAAAGATGTACAGTTAAGAATGGCATTCTAGGCAAAATCTTTGACAATAAATTAGTGTCACCGATGGGATTTGATCTAAGTACCTCTTGATCATCAGCCGAGTACTCTATCCATCCACTACACCACAAACACCGTTGGAAATATATTGTATCGTTTTGGTAATGGTGTTCCGGGCCCCCACAATCCGGTGACATTACTGCCGGATGCCTAATGCACGTTCGGTTACCGGACGTATAGCCTATCCTTTGCGTATTGATAAAGAGGATAGCAAGAGAATTATACTCCTAAGTTACAGCTTCAAAGAATGAGAAACAACATTTAATCTAAATTTACTAAGATGATATACAGATAATATATACAGTAAATGAACCTTTACAAATACTCTCGCTTACGAGGCACAGGTTTCTTCTTGTAATGCTTTTTCCCTTTTGGAAACCAAATGTGTTTGTTAGTGCTGGTTAATTTCATGAGTTCTTCCCTTGTTTGTTCTTCACTTTTAGGTTTAAACACATCATAAACTGCAGAGAGATTTTGAACTTTCAAAACGGAATTTGTATCTTCATTAACTGCTTCAGGAATCGGTCTGGAACACTCATAAGGAAATGGTTTCTCTGGATGCCAACAAACAATTGTAGAGCCATCATCAGTTACAACGACTCTCTCCTTAACCTCAAAGGAGGAATACAATTGAATTCTTGCTGGGGGAAGAATGAACTGTTTAGTTCTTACATTTGAGAGAATCCTCTGGAATAAAGCCATTGCTCTCTTTCTGTGTATTTGTTTTATTAGAAAAGGCCTACAGGCCTACCTTTAATGAATGGTTTGATAGGCAGGAGATCCACGACTAAAGAAAATTTTGGCGGAAACACTAATAGCACATAGTTTTTGAGCCTATAGAATGTAGCACTTTCCAGTTCACTTCATTAAATAATTGTAATTCATTGATCAAATTAGGTAGGACCTTTTTAGGGTTAGGACTTGACTTAGGTGTGTAGGTCCAGCTGAGCTAAGTAGGTATTGTTATTGGTTGGTAATTGGTATTTTTATTTTATTTATTTACTTTTACGTTTTACTACTCCAGTCTAGTCTCCACTCCAGAATCTATATCTCAATGCTCCAGTCCAGTCTGTCTCAGGTCAGGTGCAACGGGAATCGGCACACGGGAGGGACTAAGGCTAAAGGTGTAGTGACGTCATATCTCTAGTGGCTAATGTCTTCTCTTCTCTTGAGGCAACACGATTACCGTAACGAGACTATGTGATTTCAGCGGCGTTCGTGACATTATTGGTAGCGTCATGGTAGCGTCATAGACTAGCCAACACAAGTAGACTTCTCAGTACCTATGTTTTATCTATGGTAGCGTGTTGGATTGGTGTTCAGGAGGTCCTGGTTTCAAAACCAGGGGACATTAACTTTTTGTCGACGATTTTTGCTTAAAATGCGAATACTTCTTAGCTGTAAATCTTTTGTTATAGTTCGGCTATTTTATGATAAAAAAAAATTATTTTTTAATTAAAAAGTTAATTTTATAACTAAAAATTTAAAAAATTAATTTAATTTTCAACTTAGTGGTTCTAGCGGAGAACGCTGACACTACAAGATATGTTAGCCTTAGTATATGTTAGTCCCTCCCGTGTGCCCCACCGATTGAGGTCCAACGGGTCCAACCAATTCTAGTACGTGGGGTCCCAGTTTATCGACATCCCAAATGATCGACACTGAAATAGTCCCATGTTGTCGACAACTCAAAATATCGACAGTGTCGGTTGTCTGTTAAGTGGGATGTCGGTTATTTGAGTTGTCGACAATATGGGAATTTTTCAGTGTCGATCTTTTGGGATATCAAAAAACTGGGACCCCACGTTATGAAGCAGGTATACACATATTTAGTCGATGTGTTGATTTTATTATTTTATATTTAGTATTATATTCCATTGATGAAATGTCACATGTTGGTAAGCCTGCAAATGGAAGGATTATTCAGCAAATCAAGGGTATTTTCCAGTTCTACTCAACACTCTTTGGTTAGAAAAATTTTAACTAACAATAAAGTAATCTGGACATTTTGTAAATTTCAACTTAAAGTTTTTCAAGGTGTTTTAGTTGCTTCAAGTAATATGAGAAACCAGAGTAAATAGGGCGTAATCAAAATTATTTCAGAAGTTTTGTTTCATAGTCCTAATATGTCTGAGAATAGAGAAGAGATCTTAGCTGATTTCCAGGTAAGCATTATTAATTATAATTAAATGAGATTTATTTTTGTTCTCATCATCACGGTTCCCTAACACATATTTTTCTTAACAGCACAAATTGTTTAATTAAGCATGGATGATAATGGAACGGCACATTAGGTGGTCAACATTTGTAGGCCTAACTTATCAGTTGATTGGCCAAATCCATACTTACAAAACTAAAACTATAAGTTAAGTTACAACATACAAATTTAATTTGTTTCACAACGGTAGCAGGGAACTGATTATTGGCTCTCTAGCCTACATCAGACCTAAGTATTGGTCACAATTTTCGGATAATTGGTGCTTTCTGAAATGAAGCCTAGCCTATTATAAAATATAAAATATGACTTGTATGTTTATTTTCATAATGGTTTTGGTACCTACGGCATTCTCGTTTTTATAATACGTCAAAGTCCTAGCATGAAAAGGACCATTGAGGACTTTCAAGTTTGAGTTTTTTGCTAACGAGCAAAATCTTGCAATAAAAGTCTAATAAACACTCACAAGCACAAGCTAACCATTGATATGAGTAACTGAAAGATGTTTAAATGGATCCAATATCGATTAATACAACACAAACATAGCATTGAATACAACATTAAGTTACTCACTTCAGCTTTGTTTTTGTAAGTTTACTGTCAGTTTGCAGTACAATAAAATAACACAAAAGTAAGACAATTTCAACCAAAACTAAAACTTGACGTTACCACTAGTCTTAAAGGATAAACTGTGGGAGTAAAGTGATTTAAATTGTTTTGGATAGGCGATAAGTAAGGCATTTTATGTGTGTGTATGCGCGTGCGTGAGACAGACAGGACTAGACAGGATCCCTTTCAGCTCATTATCATTTATTGTTGCAGCTGCTTCTGCTTATCGCTTGTTAACGATTTCAGTCGACAACGCTCGCCCACTCCCAATAAATGTATTTTTTTTTACATCAGACGACTCTAGTTGTTGTAAAGTGTCTATATAGATTTAAAATTATTACTGGCGCTGTATGATTTTGACTCCAAAGACTGGAGATCAAAATTTCGACGCATAACTTAATTACCTAATTACTATTTTACAAAACCTTTAAATACAGATAATATACTTCTACCCCTTAAAATCCTGATTGGTATATACTTAGAGGTAAAAGAAAAGAATAACATTTAATAAAACATAAACGGAGCAATGTTTTTATTTTTAAAAGTATTTGAACTCCAGTGAATCTCCATTTAACACAACACAATTTTACAAGTAACGTTCTACGTTGGGACAAGAGTTTTCATATTTATTGTACTTTTGCCCCAAGCGCGGGGCCCCCTTCAACTCATTCGCTGCGGCCGTTCATTGAAACTGAAACTTGTCCGTCACAGTCACCACAGCCTAGCACACTGCTTACTTACTGGTTACTGCTGTTCTTCTCCTCCGCAGTCATCAAGAATGGGGGAGGCGTCATCTTTTTCTTTATCTTTATCTTCTTAGTTGTATCTTGGTTTTTTATTGTCTTCTGTTAAAAGTATGGTCATCCAGGAATTCATTTAAACTGTAGTAGGGTCGTTCGAGGAGATAGTTTTTCAGTTGGTTAGCAAATTTTTTCGGGTCTGTAATAGCTTTTAGCCGATGTGGTAATAAATTGTAAAGTTTCATCCCTCTATATGTTGGGGTTTTTGCTGTTTTTTCTAATCTGTGTTGCGGTAGGTTCAGATCGGTTTTTTTCCTGGTGTTGTAGTTATGAGTTTCTGATCGTTTAGTGGGATTCAGTTTCATTGTTTGGGTTATCACTTCAATCAAGTATAAGGATGTTAATGTGAGAATTTTGTTTTTTATAAAAAATGGTTTGCAATGTTCTTGATAGTGGGTATTATTTAGGGTTCTTATTGCTTCCTTTTGTAATATGAAAATTGATTGGAAAAGGTCTGTACTTGCTGCGCCCCAGGCAACAATTCCAAAGCGGAGGTGTGATTCTATGAGTGCATGGTAGGCAATTTTAGCTGTAGTAAAGTCGGTTAGGTTAGTTATCCTTCTCATAGCATAGATTGATGTAGATAGTTTTTGTTGCAGTGAATTAATATGGTGTTCCCATTTTAGGTTTTCGTCTATTTCTATTCCCAGAAATTTGGTATGGTCTGATCTGTTTGGGTTTGAGTTACCTAGAGGGGCTTTGTTTGGGTTTGATTTGCAGGAAAATTCTATTGTAACAGTTTTGGCGTTATTGATTCTAAGGTCTATTAATTTGCAGAATTGCTCGATATGTTTTAAAATATTTTCTATTCCTCCGTTAGTTATGAGGTGATGATCTCGAGGGATTAGTACTGTGGTGTCATCGGCAAAAATAATACAGTCCGTTCCTGTTGGTAGGTTTTCTGGAAAATTGTTCATATATATGATGAATAGGAGGGGGCCGAGGATGCTTCCTTGTGGAATTCCTTGGGTCATATCTTGAAGTCTAGATTTGGTTTTAAGTTCAATGTTGTTTTTTATGTAGCCTATTTCTACTTGTTGTTTTCTGTTTGTGAGATAACTTTTGATCCATTTTTGAGCGTCCTGTTTTATGTTAAGTGCATTTAATTTTCTTATAAGGGTTTTCCAGTTTAGACTGTCAAATGCTTTTTCTATATCCAGGTATATTCCTATGACATTGTTATTTTCTTCCCAGTTTTTTGTTATAAAGTCACAGAATTGAAATACTGCTGTAGTAATGGATTTTTGAGGTCTAAAACCATGTTGTTTTTCAGTTAGGAGGTTGTTTTCGTTTAGATGGTCCATTATCTGGTTAAAAATTATTTTCTCTATATATTTTGAGAGGGTGGGTAGTATTGAGATTGGCCTGTAGTTTGTTTTTATTTTTTTTTCTCCTTTTTTATACTTTGGGTAAATTGTTGCTATTTTCATTTTATCAGGTACATGTGAATTTAGGATTGAACTGTTTATGATGTCTAGTAGGGGGTTTATTAGTTCTTCCTTGCAGTATTTTATAACAGAGTTGGGGACTTCATCAAAGCCGCAGACATTTTTTGAATCAAACAGGGTGTCTACCAACCGGGAAATCCGGGAAAACCGGGAATTGTACTTAATTTTTTACTGGCCATGAAATGTACGGGAATTGTCCTTAAATGCCAGACTATGTCCTTAAATTTTTAATGGGTCATAATTTTATTGATCGCTAGTTGGTTAGGAGCACATAAAAGGTTTATCAGATGTTTGTTTACATTTTCATAATTTATTACTAGAGTAATTATGCAATAAAAATCCCATTAACAATCTCAAACCCATTAATATTTTATCACGACAATCAAGTGTCAAGTCAAGTACTTCCAAGAACTGTTGACTCAGTTAGCTAGCTCATAAAAGTTGTATCACTTTTATTCCTTTACAACTTCTGTTTTTATTACTAGGGCTTATTATGAGATTATATTATGAGGAATTATTATGAGATCCCAAACCTATTTTATCGTGAAAATAATAGCTTTATAATGGCTGTTAAATTTCACTTCTTACTTGTACTTGGCTTGAAGATTCATTTTGCCGCGGCCATTGCCTAGTGCCATAAAACTGTTTATGGTTTCATATTAAACATGTAAATAATCTACAGTCTTATTTTGTAAGTTAACCCCTTTTTTATGGATGTTTTATCTTTCAATTGACAAAACTACAAGCATTGTTATTTGCATGAATGTTTTATCACTATGTAGGCCTTCTTGGTTTCAAATTATGTCATTGCATTTTCTGTATCTTTGTCTTATATTGTTGGCTATTCAGGTTTCAATGTTTTTTGTTTCCCATATATTTATTTGTTGAGTTGTATGCTTTAAGCAATCTAAATCTTAAGAACTAGAATGATGATAGTGACTTTGCTGCTATTATAACCTCATTGTTTGTTACTCAGTTTATTTAGGCCCTCCTAAATAATTAGGCCTAGGCCTGGGTATTTTGATTCTTGAAAGTGCTGTAAAATATATTAAGAAAATGTAATTGAGCCTAGATAAACAACTAATGATTGCTATGTGTCGATATTAACTTTGCAAATGAAAATACAATAATCTTACTCTGTGCTTATTGCTTATTGGTAGCCGCTTACCATACCTTGATTTTGTACTAAGAACTGAGCAACAATATGCATTAAAGAGATTGCGTTTCTCTGTTACACTATAAAAGTTTTACCTAAAGTATAGGTAGGCCTATGCTTGTTTACTGTCAATAAATTTCTATTTTGAAATTTTTAACTCTTAGGCTATCTATTATTATTTACTCTTCTATCTGGTACAACTACAGTTAATAACAAGATTAATACAGTTTGACCAATCAGGAAAATTATTCGGTAGGCCTAATGACACCGACAAAGGTTACGCCAAAGTGCCCTTAAATGTACGGGAATTGTCCATGAATTTTTTATCCAGAATGTAGTAGACACCCTGATCAAAAGTTTTAAATATATTGTTTAATTCGGTTTTGTTTATTGTATTGAATTTTGATAGAATTCCTAGTGAGGGTTCTTGAGGGGTTTGCATTTCTTCTTGTTCTTGCAATATTTCCCTGTTGTTGTGGGAGTTTTCAGCAGAGCCTCCGATTTTGATAAAATAGTCGTTAAAAAGTTCACTTATTCTTTCTGGGCACGAGATGATTTCATTTCCCTCCCTAAGCATAATATTTTCTCTGTTGTATGGGTTTTTATTTCTTTCTTTATTTATGATTCTCCAGATTTCTTTATTTTTGTTTTTTGATTCTTCAATTTTAGATGATATTTTTGACCTTTTCTTTAGTTTTATTTCGGAGTCATACTTCTTTTTTGTTTCTGTAAAAGTAGCTTTATCCTCAGGCCTATTTGTTGTTAAGTATTTTAGGTGTGAGTGTTTCATCTCCTGTCGTAGTTCATTTATATTGTCATCATCAATTAATTCGTTTACGCCATTATTGCCATTTTTTAAGGTTTTGTAGGTCTTTGGCATGTGTGTCTGCATGATTTCCACGATGGTTCTTAGGAATGTATTATATTTTTCCTCTGT